AGGGAGGGAAATGGTCGGAGGACAAAAGCGGAAGCAGGATTGGGGGAAAGGGAGGTAAGAGGATAAAATGGGGCCAACAGAAAAGTGGAGACCAACAGGAAGAAGAGGGAGCAGGAAGTAGAGACGTTGATGTCACATAGAAATCTCAGCAGTCGGAATTTCCAAGAGCATAAACACAAACCAAGCAATTAACTCAGACCGCAAAGTTACGCCACAACCTGGAAGATGCATCTATGCCCACCCACCACAAATGATTTATCATAGCTATATACAAACCCCTCTCTAGATGTAAATGGGTATTAATAATTTATTAAACCACTACTGCAACTGAGACATCAAGCAAACTATTCTTTGAAGTTTTATTTTTCTTTCCCGTTGCTTTCTTTTTTTGTTGTTTCCCTTCCGTTTTTTGGCGCAGGGGCGATTTATGTGCGCCATCCTTGCGCAGGGGCCATGCTAATCTTCTCTGTATGGTTCCAATTTTAACAGATGTCCTGTGGGACGCTTGAAGCACTAGTACCTTTGTCGGTTCGGAAAATTGTGAGTGGGCCTCCGACCTTTTTCCGGAGGAGGCGGAAACGACACGACGGCCGCCGATCAGACTTATCAACGGCAGCCGTTATCGGGCCCGGCCTCCTAAAAGTTCAGGACTAGGCAAGCTAAGACTTGTCGACCCCGGCCGAAACCGGACGGCAAAGGTACTAGCGGTTGAAAAAAAAAAAAAAAAGAAACTTCAGAAAAGAGAGAGAAAATGACAAAGTAAAGAATGGAGTAGCCCCAAACCTTGTTGCATCCATTGGATTTTACATCCGGATTCGAGCTCATGAGCTGTTTATGACCGGTAACACCTGAGTAGTACTGAGTACCATTCAGACACAACTATTTTTGCCAAACCGGACTTCCTAAAAAGAGTAAAACGTTTTTCGAGAGTTTGTACATGTAATTCGGTTGAGCGCTCTTTTTCTTTTTTCTCACCCAACGTGGCCTGCCCAGCCAGAAAGGAGGACGACATGCGCGGCTTCTCTCAGAGCAGTGTCTATGATGAGACGGGCCCGGATGAATGCTTTGCAGTGGTGTGACGCTGCACACAAAAAATCAGCCAGTACCAGCTATCCCTGATGTCTGCAGCTTTGCTGACAAACACAGTTTTTTTTTTTTTTTTTTTTTTCCAACCACGAGTACCTTTTCCGATGTGGGCCGTCATCGGGCCCCCACATATCTAGGAGGGCCGAAACAAAAGGAGATAACTGCTGCTGATGAGATTTATCAATGGCAGCTGTCGTTGGCCCCGGCCTCCGATTTTTTTGGAGTAGGATATTTTGAATGATTATTTGAATTTTTTCCCCTAATTTTCCCAACAGCGTGAAAGGTAGTGGTCGTTTAAATAAATAAAAAAGGGCAGCCAGAAAGGAGAACGACATGCGCGACTTCTCTCAGAGCAGCGTCTATAATGAGACTGACCCCAATGAATGCTTTGCACTGTTTGCAATGTTGTGACGCTGCACACAAAGCGGACAGACAGTACCAGCTATTCCTCACCTCTGCAGCTATGCTCACAAAGTTCACACAAACCCAATGTCTTTTTTTTTTTTTTTTCAAATAAAAAGGGCAACAGCCTCAAGATATGATCATCAAGTTGACCGGCCAGAGGTAATTCAGAACTGTAGTATATTTTGCTCATCTGCTTCCAGTGGAGTTCGAACTCAGCACCTGGGCTGTATTTCAACAGTCCGTTCAGGGGGGGAGTACCAACTGAGCTAGGCCAGTTAATAGTAACTTCGTACACAAACCCACTTTCTATCACGTCCAGAAATACACTTCGTTCGAACTCAGCACCTGGTCTGTATTTCAACAGTTCGTTCAGGGGGGATATACCAAAATACGCTAACTAAGAGTTCAAACCCAGGATGGTAAAAAGGAGGTCGAGAACACGAGATGCGGTATGTGTGTGCAGATTATCCGAGTTCCTCAGAGAGATCCGCCGAGAGGGCAGATGCAGATGTGTGTGCAGAGATCCGCCGAGAGTGCAGCAGCTCCTCACAAGGTAAATCTCCCTTCTTAAAAAAAAAAAAGAAAAAAAGAAATCCCCTTCTCTGAGTTCTCTCCTTTCAAACGCAGACAGGACCAACAAAACAAGGACGACCAAGACGCCTACCTCTTTTTTTTCTTTTCTTTTAAACACCACTACCTTTCCCACTGTTGGGAAAATGGAAAAATATACGACTCCAAAAAAATCGGAGGCCGGGCCCGACAACGGCCACCGTTGATGAATCTCAACGGTGGCCATTGTTTCCTTTCGGCCTCCCGAAGATTCGGGGGGCCGACGGTGAGCCCACATGGGAAAAGGTAGTGGTGGTTTAATAATTAAAATATTATCGCCTACCTCGGTTTGTACACACATGAACTGTTGAAGTAGAGGACTAAGTTCGACTCCGGGTGGAACTAGATGAACGAAATCGAATACTTCTGAATTACTTACAACCCTTCTCTCCTTTCAATGACAATAACTTCAAACCGTCGCCTTTTCTTTTTCAAAAAAAGAACAAGGATTTAAAAAACGAGCACTGTGTGAACAGAATCGAATCACGCCGCGACAGGAGACAGACAGAGGGAACAAAGCCACGATCGATTGAAAAGAACACAAAAACAACTGAAAAAAAATGAAGGAACGAGAGAAAGAAAAGAATGAAAAAAAGTACTCACGGGTGAGGACCATTCGCCACAAAGTCATTGCCACCAACCGCAGAGTCAAACAGAAGCCACAAATATTTGACCTGCAATCAGAAAAATAAATATAAATAATTTAATAATAATTTAATAATGTCATCAAACAAGGATGTGGAACCAATGCACCGTGACCTGCAATCAGAAAAATAAATATAAATATATAATTATTAATTATTAATTTCATAAAACAAGGATGTGGAACCAATGCACAGTGTCACTTCCATTAACCATCTCTCCTAAAGGAAAGAAAAGAAGATAAAACCTGGTCCCAGAAGAAGGGGGGAAAAAAACAAAAGGAGAAAGAATCTGGATTCTGGACTCAAAAGACAGACATTTGCAACTGCATTTCCATAGTGTACAGCAGGGGAAAAAAAAAAAAAAAAAAAAAAAAAAAGAACAGACATAAATAAGGCCAGCTATGTATCGTCAAACAGAACTGCCTACGGGCAAACCGTACTCGTAGGCAGACAGGGAGAAGAGGTCAACAACTGAGGGGCTGTGACAAACTGTTTCATCGGAGTTAACACACCATCAACGGGCCTCACAATAAGATCCGGAAAAAAATGGGTACCGGTCCCACTGGGACCATTACCCAGCTTCAGCCGGTGCTGGGAGCCCATGACTTGTGCGGCAACAGTAGTTACATGCGGAGGGGCATAGCTTAGGGCATACTCACACTGGAACTATAATCCCCCAAATCCGCCCCAAAAAACCGTAGCGGGCTGATCACACAGATTTGCCAAAGTACCGAATGTGCTATTGGCGTGTCACCATTTGTCAGCGGCCTGGGAAGCCGCAGGGCAAGGGAATGTGCGGTGCGGTCACCTCTGGAGGTGACCGCGAATGCCCTATTTATTTTTTCGCATTTCCTTCGAAAATTGGCAAAAACTCCTTCACAAAAGTTCTTGCACAGTTTGTGGGATGACGCCGTGTGACCAGCCAAGCACCAAATCTGCCCCATTTCTCCAGACAGTCGCAACCTTGTCCCATCTGAAAAGATACACTAGCGTGACGTGAACCATGCCCAAAACCTCAAATCGGCCCTTCCCAGATCCGCATATTTTGCGCATTTGGAGTCGCAGTATGAGTATGCCCTCAGGGGCGAGGTCCCATTAGCAGTCGGATAGGAGTGTGGCCGATCCAGCAGCCAGGCAGGTTCATTACGAATTTCTGGGCTGAGAAAACAGGAGAAAGGCCAAAAAAAAAGAAATGAAACAGAGACCTCCCACCTGAAATCACGGCAGAGTGCTTACCAGCCATCAGATCACAAATGATCTGATGGTGGTGGTTGCGACAACAGCGAACAAAGTAACCACCACATTTTCTGGAATAAAGTTCAATAAACTCAACTTCTGTCAGCAGTGATCCTGACACCCTCCATATATATACCCCGTGATTGAAGGAGGGCTCCACCCAATGAGATAATTGCACAACAGCAAGTGAAATACTGAAAATCTTCTATCCAGTGGGCCTAAGGCCAGCCCCACCCTCCTTTGGGGTTGGCCACACCCCCAACCGATTGAAAAGATTCTGGCAGGAAGCTTTCTTTGCACGGGCACGCCCAGTGTTAAGGAGAGGAGGAGGGGAACGAAGATCTCCTTACTTTTTCGGGTAATACATGTAAAATACTGTCGGTGGGATCACGAGTAGTGCACGGCAGGATTTGGGTCACTGAACTGCCCCGCAAACTCGTTTCTATCCTATCCCGTTGCTAGTGGGACCTCGCCCCAGTTGGTAAACCCATAAACTCTTGAAATACAGATGCAAGTTGGAATCAGGGGTGCGGGGGTCCAGGGGTGGGCACCACCGGCCCCGGCTCTGGACCACCCCGCCCCCCCCAAAAAATAATAATAATAATAATAATAATAACAAAAATAAATAATAATAAATAATAAATAAGATAAAATTTCATAAAAATACATAAAAAATAGTGGGGTGCGCAGCGAATCCCGATGCAATCAGATGAACTGGATAACATAATTCTGAATTGCGAGGGACTGATCAGCGCAATGAAACCTGTGCCGTAACAGTAGTTACATACCAGCGGGCCTAGCTCAGTTAATAAACCCATGAACTGTTGAAATGAAATCCAGACCCAAGTTCAAAATTGAAAAAAAAAAAACATACAAAAGGAGGCCAAAAAAAAAAAATCCTTGTTCAATTTCGTCACGCGGGCAAAATATATATTTCAAATTTAATGAAAAGTCCGAGAGAATCAACCAGAAGTGGGCACATTGTGCCAACCCCACTCTGCGTCCTTCCTATCCCCTTTGCATCCAATGCTTTCACACACACAGGATTCCATGAAGCACTGAAGGTGTATATTAGATATATACTGTAATTGTGAGAAATGTTGTATTCGTAAAACTGTCATTGACCTGTTTTCTGCATTATATACATAAAAGGTAGGCTACCAGAGTGGCCCGGGGTCACTTGCCCGGCCGGGCCAAAAAAAAAAATATCCACGGTCTCGTTTGAGAACCGATTCTCCGGTTTCTATTCTTCCCATTGTTCCGCCTTCATTGCCAGTGACATCTTCTGTTAGAAACATCGCCACTCCTCTTATTGTGTATCATCGTCGACGACATGCACAACATCGCCACTTGGCCAGGGATCAGCGGCCTGCTTCTTTGTCTACCCCAATTCTCTCTGTGCCTCCTTCACGGGTTGTTGCGGTTC